TTCTATATCATTGCCTATAGTATTTGTTATAAAGTAGAAAAAAAGCTAATTGCAAAAATTTCAGTGCTGTAAAACAGTTTCTCAAATGTTTACACAGTAACACTGAATCTTGACCCACAATGATCACAAACCATAATTTGTGTACCAACCCCTTGACAATTCAACATACAAATAAAATACAAGCACATACCACAATTTTGGTCACAATGTAGTTCTCTACTTCACCAGCAGTTGTATCCAAACGCAGAGACACTGGCTCACTGCTGACATGATGGACTGTTGACTTCAATGGAGGGCAGAGCACTGTGGAAATAATAATTATAATGTTGATAATAATTATGCTGCACAGCATTTATTGGCTTTCTGCTGAACAATACATACATAAAGAAGACCTTTACTACTTGCAGTCACCCTTGCTGCCAGGCCATGGTGTTTATGGAGTGTCCTCTGCTTCCTCACAATTAAGTGAATGAAATTAATCTTCATCACTAAGTTCCAAATAAGAACAATATAATGTAACGTATTAAATCATCTCATTATGCCATTTACAGTCTACTAACTTATCGGACAGTATTTTCATTTTATTTTTATCTTTTGGAAGTAGTTTAGCTCCATGGTGGGTTCACTCCACACTTACTCAAGATTATTCAAACAGCTTTTCACTAATAGCAAAAACAGATTTATTTTTATTCTCCGAAGAACTTTAAATATCCCACAAAGTTTGAAAAACTATCCACCCTACTTGACTGTATCACTTTCCTAATCACAACTATAACTTATACTCATCACTTTCCATGGTTGAGAAATTGCGATGGAAATTTGTTATTTTACTCTGTTTACTGTTTCACCCTGCAGTATATTTTATTATGTTACAGCTAGGTGAAGTTCCCATGGGAAAGATGTTCGTTAGAGAGTTTTCTTATCTGACTTTCCCTGATAGGCCTTCATCTCAGGACAGCTGGTCCCTACTCCCTTCCTCTCCTGGATAGCTGCATAATATCCTTACAGTATAAAGTCACCTGTTTCTACACTGGCTCTTTGTCTTACACCCTGCAGACTGTTTGCACTCTGTATGTCTGTATGACCCTTTGCAAAGAATAAAACCCTTAAAAGACATCGGGATTGAATTCTTTATTTCAGAAAACTCACTTAAGGTTTAATTTCCATTTCAAAATGTTTGACTGTGGTGACCTCAGCTGTAACTAACTCCACCCCTCTGGGATCACGTGATGAATACAATAGTTCTCTACTATATCAACAAAATCGGTGAAAGATGGGACTCCTTTCCTAAGAAGCTTCAATGTACTGTGAAATCTGTCAGGGAGAACACCAACGTCACTCTGTCCACATGTGTGTGATATGCGAAGTAGCAGATGAGTGGACTTTTTACTAACATAGTGTAGCTGGAGCAGAAGGTACAGTCTTTAACGAAAGAAAACACTGTCCTGCGAGATAGGGGTGGGAGAAAAAAATATATACTCTTAGATGCATCACGATGAAGATTCTGAATCAATTAAGAAATGTCAAAAAAATTATTAGTTCATGAAACACAAAGCGGAACTCTCGGAAGTGCAGCGCCCGGACAGTCTGTGGTGTGCACATAACAGAGAATATGAATGCGCGGCTACTGAGTTTCACTCGCACACGGTAACATATTTTACAGTGGTTAACACTTACCGTTGGGCTGGCTCTCCTGTGTGTGTAGCGAACGCGTGGGTGAGCAAATGCTGCAGAAAGTGACAGTTTTAGCTATGGAGTGATACATCTTGTCTCCAAATGATCTTTATTGGGAGCTGCACATGCGCAGTTCCTAGTTAAGGACTACTAGCCAATCAGAAGCAGAGAAGGGCGGGTCAGAGGGAAGCCGGTGAACAGCTTCAATTCAGCTGTACATGTTGCCAACCAGCTTGGCAACATAGACTGGAGCAAGAGTTTCAGAGTGGTGAGTTATTAATCTGTAACAAAAATATCTTTCATCCACAAAGATTTAACTGAACTCTGTCTCTACATCACAGTAACAACTTTATGTCCACTGACTGCCTGGAGGGTAACTAGTGTTTGGAAGGGAGAGGAGAGGTGTGTGCTGCAGCTCAGTGTTTTTCCACCAGTGTTTTTGAGGGCGATTCTGAGTAGCTGCATGACAAGCATTATATGAGGTGCATTTAGCTCTCTTCCCTGTGACAGGGATGAGAGCTAAATGCGCCTCATAAAACGCTAGACTACAAATGAGCTGTTTTCAAGAAGTTCAGAACTTTTTGTGGGAGATGGGAACTCCCTTTGGACTGGCTTTTTCCACTTTGCAATCCTATTACATGCATAAAAAAGGTATATGACTCAACAAAGGAGAGGGAAAAAGCCAAAAAGCAATTATTTTGCTCAGAATAGTCTCTTGAGAAAACACTAAGATCTCAATAGTATATCTTTTTGAGATTACTCCAATCTAAATTGTTGGTCCTAAAATCCCTTAGGAGAAAAGGATGAGATGAAGAGAGATTGAGGTTTTGAGACTTGGGTAAGACAAATGGATACTGAATTGAGATTACAATAGGATAAATGAAAATAACAGATGAGATCTCATCTTTGTATCTTTTCAAGTTCATTAATGTCTTATTGCTCCTAAAAAGCAGTTGGGTGGCTCAGGGGAGATGTTTGTGAGCTTGATTGTAGTACAGTATTGCCTATGAGAACCGTGCTGGAGGCCCTGAGCTGCATATGAACCCTGTCCTGCTGTTCAAAAGGGCAGCAACACTGCTGCCGCGCCATCCAGCTAAAATTAACAATGAAGGACTGATTGTCTTTCAATAGTACTCAAGTAAAAGGTATAAAAGGATTCCATAGTGAATGTACTTCAGTATCAAAAGTAAAAGTGCTCTTTCTGTATGACAGATACATGTTGTATCTCAGTTCTTGCATGCATTCGGTCCTTAATGAATTAATCTCTAAACGTCATGTCAAAGTATTGGGTGTTCCAGTTATGCTGGCTGTGACTACCTTAAATTGGAAAACATGACATTTGAAAGTGCATTATTTTCAATGTCAAAATGTATTTTATTTTTCTCAGTAACTTGTAACAGATAATTAACAAATACAATAAGGATTTAAAATTAAAGGGAGTAAAAGTACAAACCCCCATAAAAAGAAAATACTCAACATTTGACCTAAGTAAAGTACTTGAGTAAAATAACCCCTAAGTGTGGTCACTAAGACAAAACTGAGAAATATCTTGGAGCTTTTTTTCTGATCCACATTCTGGACTGAAACACACGTATTTAAGATACTGTAGAGATCTCATCATTGATCAGAGTTAGAGAGATGAGTTTTTTGCTCCTGAGGCCAATATGAGAAAACTGAGACATATTTGAGAAGAATCATGAGATCCCAGGAGTTATAGCTGAGTTTTCTTTGAGCTATGTCTCTGATCTCATGGGCCAATGTTAAGGAGACTTATATTAGACTTATTTAAGATCAGTTAGAGATCTCTTGTTTTGATCAGAGTCAGACATAAATGAGATTTTAGATGGTTGCTTCTCCTGAGATGAATTTGAGAAGTGGAAGAAAAGGCCTTTGTTCTCACCTTGGTATTAAAAGCAGCTCATTTGTGTCTAGGAGAAAAGAAGGAAGAGATCTCATCTTGGATTTTGCTTTCCTACGGGTACCATTAATAAAGTGAAGGCGGTTAGCGCAAGCTAACATCTCATCAAACTTAGTTTTTCAAATATCGTGTCTGAGTTCGCAGCACAACTTAAAATGGGGTATCATAATTCAGTTTTGCACTTTTTTCTCCAAAGGTCTAACTCTTTCAAGTCCTTACCTACAAGGTAAATGTATCTGTGTTTTAGTGGTATGTAACCATTTTCTCTTTCTTGCTTTTCTCTTCACGTAAGGGAGATAAGAAAAATGACCAAAAGAAAAGTCTTATTTTTTTGTTTGTAAAGCACAAAAAAGGGACATGAATCACACTCATGTCAGAGAGATGAAACTTTATGATGTTGTCTATGCATCTAAAGTCACTGGATTCGTTTATCTGGTTCAAAGCTGACTTGTCTCAGAAATCTCACATAGAACTCTGGCTTATCTCTGATCCTCTGGTACCTTCCTTGTGTTCAAGCCTTGTGTTCATCCTGCTCCTCTTACAAACCATGATGGAATTGATCTTGTCCAATCCACTGCAAATTTCAAACAACAAAGAGTTCCAGGGTATTGGAAACTTTATCCCTCTTTATTGCAACTAGCCTCCTTTTTTATGTATTAAGGAAATTATAAAAAGCTTTAAAACCAGAAATGATCTCCTGTATTTCTAAATGGGAACTGTTTAAATTTGAATGTAGAAAGTTTTCAATTAAGTTTGGTAAACAATATTCAAAAACTAAAATGACAAGGACTTCTAGAATTCTAAAAAAAAAAAAAAAAATGATATTTTAAACATTCCAGTTCCTTATATTATTTAATGTAAAGTTGAAATTAAATTCTTTACAAGAAGAGCTGAATATACTTTATAGTGAAAAAGAAAAAGGGGCATGTTTCAGATCAAGGGCAAAATGGCTGAAATTTGGAGATTTTTTTTGTTGTTGTAAAAATCATACTTTTTCTTTTTACCCTCAATCTTGCTGCTCTTTCTTTGATAAAGTATGTCCATTAATTCCTAAGATAAGTCAGGCAATAGTTGAACTATGTGAAAATAACTATCAGTGAACTGGTGGTTATCAAGCCAACACCATCCAGTAAAATACCTGGTCCTGATGTCTTGACATTTGAATTTTACAGAACTTTCTGGCCCTCATTTATCAATCTTCCGTAGAAATGGGCGTATTTTTGTGCGTGAGATTAAACTGTTAAACTGTTGCGCCTGATTTATCAATGAGAGTGTACCCTGGCATTTCAGGTGTACGCACCACCTGGTGTTGATAAATGCGGCGGCTGAAAACGTGCGTAATTTGAATGAAACGCCCCCAATTATTTAAGCTTCAGGAGGGGACTGACGGAATACGGCAAGAAATACATGGTTTGGAGCAGGAAATTATATTGTTTTGACAGATTTAAATAAAGATTAAATGTTTAGTTTCACTACTAGAGCCCATCCCCGGCATAAATAAAATATTGTGCATTTTAATATTACGAGATTTTTCTTTTGGAAACAATTTAATACTTTTTTATTTGATGATTTAAACTGGACACATTTTTGACAAAATGTTCAACGCGCTTAAAACTGGACACGAGCAGTCAGATGAGCCATAAACAGTTCAGGTCCAGCCCGAGAGCCAGTGCTGGAGTCAGGGGACCTCCGCGCGCTGTCAGCCTCGCTGGAGCGGACCAGTGCACGCTGTCATCCCCAGAGGAGGATGCGCTCATTCCGGGCCAAGAGCCTCTCGTTTAGCGTTTACTTTGATGAACGTAGGACATACGGACAGATACGGGGCGGTGTACCCCCAGCGTGCAAAGCAAGCCTTCACAATGTTTTGTCGCTTTGGGAAACTCGCCACTATACAGAAACTATTGCGCACGGACTTGGATCTGACCATCCGCGGTGAGTGCTCACTGTAACTTTTCTTTTATGTTCAGAGTGAAACATTGTCCAAACAATGATGAGCTGCACCACGTCTATACCTCCTGTTTGTGGAGCGCGTTCCGTGCAAACTAGAAGTTTTTGTTTGTTTCTAGAATTATAAATTGCCTACTTGTGGTGCTCCAAGAGATAGATTTAGCACTGCTAAAACGCCCATCAAAGTTAAATCCCAAATAAGCTCCAAGTGAAAGTATGTTGCTCTGATAAAAAGCTGCTCCATCACCTCCGGGACTGGGCTTTACGCACTGACCCAGGACTCACACATGAACAGGGATCAGCGTGCACCAGAGTCCGGGGACGCGGGGCCTTTAGCGTGGGTGTCGGTGCTCGCTGTTGCTGTCATAATATAAAGTTTGTCTTATAATAAATGCAGGGCTTTACCTTTACATTTTTTGCTCATAGCCTTTCGTTTTAAGGCACACATTTTATTAAAAGCAAACCCAAATAAAAGGCACCTAAAGCTACGATAAAATAGTCCAAATACAAATAACAGCATGTTTTGACTTTGACACCAAAATTATTGTTTGAAACGTTGTTTCTGTTACAGTGGGTCATAATATCATATCTTTTAGTTTGTCAGTGCGTTTTGTGGTGTTACGAATTGTTTTTCTGCGCATTTCCGCACTAACTGAAAACTTGCATACATGTACTCCACCTCCTGAGCTTATATTGAAATGTTGTATTTGTGAATTTAACATTTTTCATATAGGCTAAGTTAAAGAGATTCAAATAAATAGGCTTTTCTTTACAATGAATTCATTCATTTTTTTTCATATAATATTTTTTTTCGTAAATATTGTCATGTTCTTAAAGAAATATTCGACAAGAACACGTGACAAATGCTTAGTTTTCTTATTGCAAAAAAACACTTTTCCTCAACATCAATCCTAAATCTTAATACCACTGTTGTTTATTTGATACACGTATTATAGCAGTGAGTGCAGCGGTAACATCAGATCCTGTTTATGCAGGGGAGAGAGGGTAGTTCGTCAGAAAGTTGTCGCTGTATTTAAACCCTACGCGAGTTATGAAGCTCGATTTGGCCTGGAGGGTGACTTCGACCAGAGTTCACTCTGTGTCGGAGTGGAAGTGGCGAGGGTCTAGTTTCGGAAAGGCCCCGACTGTGTTGTGAAAAGTGTTTGTTTGCTTGCCAAACTTGTGCTGGCCGATTTTAACGTGATCATTTAAGTCTTGCTGGCTGCCATCACGTTAATTATTAACGGTCGGTGCAAACAGGTTACAGGTTTATTGTTGATCATGTAACATTACTGTTTGTTTAGTTATAACGTTACACTGGTTTGAGAGTTGGGGGGTGGGGGGTGACTTACATTAGTTTAAGCTGTCATTAATTGCATTGTATATCACATGGTTGTCGGAGACTTGACTTTTGAGCATCTATGGTTTATTTATTAGTTAACTAGCGGGTGACACCGGTCTCTTCTTCAAAAATGAAGGTCAAGTTCCAGGTGTGTTGGAGGTTTTAAAATATTTCTCTAAAAGGCATCAGACCTGAAGATTAACCAGAGTAAATGTGATAATTTTAACTGTGCAAAATTCTGATTAAACATCAATCAATAAGTTGTATAAAAGGTCAAAAAGTCAGTGACAGATCTTGGTATTTTGATAGATAAATCCACATTTGAGAGAGTATCTGCTAACTTCTTGCCGAAAATAGAAAAAGCAAAGACAATTTTTAATTGCTGGTTGCAAAGACACTTTACCATACAAGGTCAGGTACTATTGTTAGATATATGGTTTTTCATCTCTAATTTGTTATTTTAAAAGTCTGGTTGTCTACAATTTCTATTATCTTGTAATTATATATGTAACAAACTGCCCCTCAAACTCTCCAGTTTTTATAAACAAGCTCTTCAAGCATGGAGAATGGCTTTTTGTCAGCATGCGTGATTGGGTGAGCAGGACACAAGGCCAGGTTCAGTTCAAAGGTTTATTTAAACAAAAGGCAAGTACACTTACAGAGTCCAGGGTATTCAAAGTAAAACAAATAAACTGGTAATCCAAGAACTGGTGGGGAAGAACCGGGCAGACAAAGGACATCACAGGACAGCGCATTACAAGCAACAATGACCAGACAAGGACTGAAGAGAAACACCAAACATATACAGTATACACCAGGGACTAACAAGAAGGGCGGGAGCAACACAGGTGACAGACATGAGACTAATGAGACACAGGCAGGCAGGGAGAGAGTAGGAGAAAACAGAGAGACATCCAGGCAGAGGGATACTGGACGAACAGTCAGAACACAGGTTACAGATCAGAGGAATATAAATAAACGCACAAAGACAGAAAACCAAAGAACTACAACCAACAATGAAAACAGACTGCAGCTGGGGTTAAAGAGAACACAGAGCAGACAAGGGCAACATTACTCAGAGGTACACAGACCAAAAGTAAACACTAAGACATGAAATGAGACACAGAACTAGGAGCTAAGACACAGGTCTAACAGAGAACATAAGACCAGGAACCGAACCTCAAAACAAGAAACATGACAACTGAATAACAGAATGGAGTAGGGAACAGAGAGGGAACCGACTGGGAAACAGGACAACAATAAACATGGAACAGAACAGCAAATAAGGGAAATACCCAAACACAACAGGCTATATAACAGATACTGGACAAAGGACAACAGACAGAACCGAAATCAAAACTCAACAACTCTAAGACTACTGAACAGATCAAATTAACAAACACTGACGTACACGGACCAGGAATAAATACTAAGACATTAACACCGGACTGGGTACTAAGACATGGAACCAAAACATAAACTAAATAACAGATACCTAACTAATAAATGAATAAACTCGAAGAAATAAGTCCAGATAAATACTTGTGAGAAATGAGGGCTTGGATGCTTCTTAAAAGAATATCATAATGTTATAAAAAGCGATCTCGAAAGTTATTTTTTTCTTATAAGTGCATGGTTATATTGTCCTTTTAAAGGAAATATCCCCAATCTCTCACTTGATGGGAAAGATCTTTTTAACAGTATGTACAATAATTGCCACATCAGAAAAGTACTGATCTCTGGTTATAATGATTTTTCCAAATCGACTAAATTTCCCTGAACTCTCTGCAGAAAATATCTGATCAGGATCTAATAAATTCCTCATTCCAAATAAAATTGAAGAAGTTCTTATGGAAATTACAACAAACCTTTCTTTAATTGTACTATTTTTAAGAATTCTGAAAAGAAGTTGCTCTTTTGATTTTTCAAGTTATAAAACATTAACTCCCATATTAAAAGACATGGTCCTGTTTCTAAATTGTAATATTGACTCAATACCCATAAAGGGTTCGCTAAAAATATTGTCTTGTTGGCAAATTTCACATCCATAAGGCTAGAATGTTTCAAAGCACTCCCAATTTTCATTTGATTAGAGAAATGAGAAACAAACAAGACAAACAAATATAAAAATAAACAGCTAAATTCTGTCTATAATATGTTTAAAAAGTTTTGATGTCTTTAAAGCTTTCTTATTTTTTAATACTCTGCCCATAGAAAAATATATGTTTTTAAGGTCAATAAAATTGGCAAATTTCGCCTAAAGGTCACACATTTGCATAACTAGTTATAATTTATGTGATGCCATTGGGACTACGTTTACGGAAAGCGCTACACTAGCCTATCATATTACATTCATAATCTGGTTTCCAAATAGCTCTACTTTACACACCTTTCAGGTCCACCATCAGGCCTTATGGAAAAATCACTGACAAAAGCATAATGAAACCCACCTTTGAAGATGTGGCCATAGCAAATTTGTGTTCTTGGATCCGGGAGTTCTTCTCTATTCTGCACGTGTGGGTAAGCTAAACCACTTTCACTTTGGGTTTATAAATGAGCCTGTGGTTTCTCGGAAACAAAACGAAACTCATTGTCTTACATAAATACACATTTTGTAAAAAGTTTATATTGTAAGTAAGCAACATAAGAAAGAAAACATACTGTCCAAATGTATTTTTGCAAGCTTATGTATAAGTCTACAACAATAAATTTACAGAATATTTCAGCTAGATTTATAAAATAAATTAAAAAGGCTATATTGGGTGAACAGTGGTTTTGAAATGATTCCACGCCAACTTAATTAAATAATTAATTTAAGTAACAGAACAAACACCTTCCTTTTTGTATGTTTTTTCTTCCACCAGGATATCACTAATACTTTACTTACATGGGTCTGGTTCATCTTTATATTCAACCTCAGGAAAACACATTGTCCAGTACAGAATTGTTATCAGTGACCATCATAAACCATTGCATATTTGCACACCTGCATATGCCACCTGTTGTGTAACTTTGCTTTTGAACTCTATAATTCAGTTTTGAAGTGAGTTGAAGAGTAGATTTGTCTAGTCCTGATTTAGCAGCTGTGCATGTTATTCAATTTCACCTCACAGCAAGTTTAACCTCAGTATCAGTCATTCAAGTGTTCATGCAGAGAGAGCTCTGTATTTCAATCACCTTTAGAAAAATAAATTGAAATGAAAGTGGTAATAATAAATGAAAAATGCTGTATGAATGGTGCGCCATTTTATTTCTCTTACTGCACAGATTGTGTTTAATCTCAAAAATGGATCTTGGGGAATACTGTGGTTAATAGAGTGTTTACTGAACTGATGTGCTGATGTTCGAGCCCACAGAAACAAACAGTACCCTACATGGGAGAAGTTAGTCACTGGTGTTGTCTTTGCTTGTGCTCTAGCTTTAGCCTGTTTGTTTGTTTGCTTTTTTTTTTACTGCCTAACGGGGGGTGTGAGGGGAGAGATATACCTGGCTGCTCCTGTCAGAGATTTTGTAAGCCCACTGAAAGGGAAATGTGCACAATGTAAAACACAAAACAAGGAAAAAGGACATTGAGAGGACTTTCTCCTGCTCGGTGTGTCAGATGTTCAGTTACTCCTCTGCCTCCTTTAGCGGTAATGGTACGTGTAATAAGTGTAGTTTATTTATAGACATGGAGGCGAGGCTCAGTGATTTAGAAGTCCGGCTCCGCACCTTGGTAGATCAGTCTTTAGCTACTGTAGCTAGCCAGTCCCTGGTAGTCGGTGCGGAACGGCCTGAGTTAGCCTGTGGTAGCCGTCCCCCGGCATCCCCTGTGCAGCCAGGAAAGGGGGGCTTGGTGACTGTCCGAAGGAGGAATAGTCGTAAGCATTCAAAGTCCACGGGGCATCATCAACCTCTTCACGTTTCTAACAGTTTTTCCCCACTCAGCGACACACCCGCTGAGAAACCAACTCTGATCATTGGCAGCTCCATTTTGAGAAACGTGAAGTTAGCGAAGCCAGCGGCCATAGTTAAGTGCATCCCTGGGGCCAGAGCGGGCGACATTGAGTCTTATTTGAAACTGCTGGCTAAGGATAAACGTAAATACAGTAAGATTGTTATTCACGTCGGCGGTAATAAACTCCCGGTTACGCCAATCGGAGGTCACTAAGATTAATGTTGAGTCGGTGTGTACATATGCAAAAACAATGTCGGACACCGTAGTTTTCTCTGGACCCCTGCCAAATCTGACCAGTGATGACATGTATAGCCGCATGTCGTCATTCCGCCGCTGGTTGTCGAGGTGGTGTCCAGCAAACGATGTGGGCTTTGTTGATCATTGGCAGACTTTCTGGGGAAGACCTGGTCTGATTCGGAGAGACGGCATCCATCCCACTTGGGAAGGAGCAGCTCTCATTTCTAGAAATCTGGCCAAGTTTATTAGTGGACCAAATCCATGACAACCCAGAGTTGAGACCAGGAGGCAGAGTCGCAGTTTAACACACTTCTCTGCCCTTCTTTTTCAGCAGTTACCCACCCAAAACCCTACGCAGAGTCGCAGTCTAACACACTTGTCTGCTCTTCCATTTCAGGAGTTACTTAGTGAAAATCCTATAGTGACGGTGTCTGCCCCCCGGCCATTGAAATTATTTAAAAAGGTAAACAGAAGAGGAGCTGTGCATAAAAACCTCCATAAAAATTAAAACCACAAGAGCAATAGTGCAAACGAATAGGAGAGTTAAATGTGGACTCTTGAACATCAGATCTCTCTCTTCTAAAGGTGTACTAGTAAATGAACTAATATCAGATTATGATATTGATTTATTTTGTCTTACTGAAACCTGGCTGGGTGATGGAGAATATGTTAGCCTAAATGAATCCACCCCTCCCAGTCATATTAATACTCACATTCCTCGAGGCACAGGCCGAGGAGGTGGAGTTGCAGCTATCTTTGACTCTAGCCTACTAATCAGCTCTAAACCTAAACTAAACTATAACTCATTTGAAAGTCTTGTTCTTAGTCTTTCGCACCCAAGTTGGAAATCACTGCAACCAATTCTTTTTGTTATAGTGTACCGAGCACCTGGCCCGTATTCTGAATTCTTATCTGAATTTGCAGAGTTTTTGTCAACTTTAGTCCTTAAAACGGACAAAGTTATTATTGTAGGGATTTTAATATTCATGTGGATGTTGAGAATGACAGCTTCAGTACTGCGTTTATCTCTTGTTAGATTCCATCGGCTTCTCTCAGAGAGTTCATGAACCGACTCACTGTTTTAACCACACCCTCGACCTTGTTTTGGTGTATGGTATTGAAATTGAACATTTAGTGGTGTTCCCACAGAATCCCTCTTTATCCGACCACTGTTTGATAACTTTTGAGTTTGTATTGCTGAACTACTCGCCATTTGGCAAAAATTTCTATACAAGATGTCTGTCTGATAGTGCTATAGCTAAATTTAAGGATGCGATTCCATCAGCTCTAAATACATTATCTAGTCACAAAGTAACGGAGGACTCCTATGCTAATTTCAGTCCCTCCCAAATCGATCATCTTGTTGATAGTGCTGCAGGCTCGCTGCGAATGACACTCGACTCTGTAGCCCCTCTAAAAAAGAAAATACTAAAACAAAGACGGTTAGCTCCATGGTATAATACTGAAACTCGCAAATTAAAGCAAATATCACGGAAACTTGAGAGGAATTGGCGTTCCACCAAAGTGGAAAATTCTCGTTTAATTTGGCAAGATAGTCAGCGTACTACTCGTCATTAATAGAGGAAAATAGGAACAACCCCAGGTTTCTTTTCAGCACTGTAGCCAGGCTGACAGAGAGTCACAGCTCTATTGAGCCAAGTATTCCCATAGCTCTCAGTAGTTACGATTTCATGAGCTTCTTTAATGATAAAATTCTAGCTATTAGAGACAAAATTCACCAAGACCTGCCCTCAATTGGCACCGACTTATCTCTTAACTCAGGAACCTTAGAAACAGCTGTAGAACCAGATACATGTTTAGACTGTTTTGCTTCCCTCAATCTTTACCAACTAACTTCAATAATTTCTTCATCTAAACCATCAACCTGCCTCTTAGACCCCATCCCAACTAGGCTGCTTAAAGATGTTTTACCCTTAGTCAGCAATCTATACTAGATATGATCAATCTATCTTTATCAACAGGCTATGTACCACAGTACTTTAAAGTAGCTGTAATTAAACCTCTTCTGAAAAAGCCCAAACTTGATCCGGATGTTTTAGCCAACTATAGACCTATATCTAACCTTCCATTTCTCTCTAAGGTTCTGGAGAAAGCAGTTGCTAAACAGCTGTATGACTTTCTACAGAGCAATAGTTTATTTGAGGATTTTCAGTCAGGATTTAGAGCTCATCATAGCACAGAGACAGCACTGGTGAAAATTACTAATGACCTCCTTATTGCATCAGACAAAGGACTTGTCTCTGTACTGGTTTTATTAGATCTTAGTGCTGCATTTGATACCATTGACCATCAGATCCTATTGCAGAGACTGGAATATTTCATTGGCATTAAAGGAACCACTCTAAGCTGGTTTAAGTCCTATTTATCAGATCGATTTCAGTTTGTACATGTTAACGATGAGTCCTCCATGCACGCCAAAGTTACTCATGGAGTTCCTCAAGGATCTGTCCTTGGACCAATCCTCTTCACTTTATATATGCTTCCTTTAGGCAATATTATCAGGAAACATTCCATAAGCTTTCATTGTTATGCAGATGATACTCAGTTATATCTATCGATTAAGCCAGATGAAACTCATCAGTTAGCTAAACTTCAAATGTGCCTTCAGGATGTTAAAACCTGGATGACCTGTAATTTTCTCATGTTAAACTCAGATAAAACTGAAGTTATTGCTCTGGGGCCTAAGCACCTCCGTGACGCATTATCTAAAGATATAGTTTCCCTGGATGGCATCGCCTTGGCCTCCAGCACCACTGTGAGGAATCTTGGAGTTATCTTTGATCAGGACATGTCGTTTAAGTCTCACATTAAGCAAATTTCAAGGGCCGCCTTTTTTCACCTACGTAATATTGCGAAAATCAGGAACATCCTGTCGAAAAATGATGCAGAAAAACTAGTCCATGCATTTGTTACTTCTAGGCTGGATTACTGCAATTCCTTATTATCAGGCTGCTCGAAAAAGTCCATTAAGACTCTTCAGCTGATCCAGAATGCTGCAGCACGTGTTCTGACAGGAACCAGGAAAAGAGATCACATTTCTCCTGTTTTAGCTTCTTTGCATTGGCTTCCAGTAAAGTCTAGAATAGAATTTAAAATCATTCTTCTCACCTACAAAGCTCTTAATGGTCAGGCACCATCTTATCTTAAAGAGCTCATAGTACCTTACTACCCCACCAGAGCACTGCGCTCCCAGAATGCAGGGTTACTTGTGGTTCCTAGAGTCTCCAAAAGTAGACTAGGAGCCAGAGCGTTCAGCTATCAAGCTCCTCTCCTGTGGAACCAGGTTCCAGTTTGGGTTCAGGAGGCAGACATCATCTCCACATTTAAGAGTAGGCTTAAGACTTTCTTCTTTGATAAAGCTTATAGTTAGGGCTGGCTCAGGTAGTCCTGAACCATCCCTTAGTTATGCTGCTATAGGCCTAGACTGCCGGGGGATTTCCCATGATGCACTGAGCTCCTCTCTCCTCTACTTTCTCTCCCTCTGTATGCAACCTTATCCCATTATTGCATGTTACTAACACAACTTCTCCCCTTTCTGGTAGTCTTCTGCTTTCTCGTCCCTCTCCTCTCTCCTCCTATCACTTCCTGCAGGTTTTCTGGCTCTGGAGCTGTGGAGTCTGGATCTGTGGCTGCGGGTCACCTGCTGCCCCCGTGTTCCTGCTCGACACCCTCTGCTGCAACGACTATTGTTGCTAGTCTTATTGTTATTATTGTTATTATAATCATTAACATTACGATGGTTATCATTAACACTATTATAAATATCTGTACCATTTTTCATTTAGTTTATAGCAACATTACCTTCACTGTCTGTACCTCTGTGTGTATATTGTGTTCTCTCTCTCTCTCTCTCTCACCCCAACCGGTCGAGGCAGATGGCCGCCCACCCTGAGCCATGGTTCTGCTCGAGGTTTCTGCCTCTTAAAAGGAAGTTTTTCCTTGCCTCTGTTGCCTAGTGCTTGCTCTTGGTGGGAACTGTTGGGCTTCTGTAAATATCATCACAGAGTACGGTCTAGACCTGCTCTTTTATGAAAAGCGCTGTGAGATAACTGTTGTTGTGATTTGGCGCTATATAAATAAAATTGAATTGAATTAGAACCTCTTTACTCACTCCTGTGGATAAGGAGACAGGGAGGAGTTGTGAACCTCACCTCAGCTACAATGACACCACTGGAGGTTAAAACAGAAACAAGGTATTTAGTTTGGTCTGCTCTTTTCCCTTGTCTATTTTATAAGCTAACACTGGAGGGCGCCATCGTGACAGGGAACTGGATGTGTGAAGAAAAATACCAAACTGCGAGGCAGGACAGAGACAGACACTCAACGTCTGGAAGAGGACAAAACTGTACATTTTTATGTGTAAGAAACAAACAGATAAAATATTTGCAAATATTAAGTCTCTTGTTTGTTTTTCTTTTTTTTGGAGTGAATGAATGCTTATTTTGTGTCAACAAAAGACAACAGGTGCAGTTTGCCAAAAAAAAGGCCACTAACTTGGTTTCAAATTAGTTGTGTCAGGTCAGTGGTACATGGAAGCACATGATTAACACCCCACAATGGCAAACACACAGAACCAGTGACACTTAAACACTCACTATATATACTACAAACCTTCAGCTTGGTCTCCATTGAGAAGTTGCACCTGTTGTCTTGTTTTTACATTCTTTGTTGAATTTAGAAACCCAAGACTTGAGATGAAGAAAAATGTTAAATAATGGAATTCAAAAAAGATTATTATTTTAAAAAGTATAGTAAATCTATAAAAATGTATGCTGTGATTCTGATCTGAGAAACATTAAAGACATTCATAGCCAGTCTGCTGATTTTTTTCTCTTTATTGAATCAGTTAACACAAGGAAGTAATGTGTACATGTTGACAACACCACATATGGAATGAATGAATTTTTCACTCTTGAAATTAAAAAAGGGATCCCAAATTCTGAGTTAACAAAATCACAAATTATGCTAAATTAGATTTTAAAAAATCATGTGTAGCGTACAGAATGATCTCTTAGTTCATTGAAAATGTAAGTATTTTGCATCAGATACTTCACAGAAAAAAAAAACAAATTCCAAGTACACAATTGCACATCATATTTAATAAGATAGGGCAGCACGGTGGTCCAGTGGATGGCAATGTGGCCTCACAGCAAGAAGGTTGCGGGTTCTCCCACCATCCAAAGTCATGCACACTAGGTTAATTGGTGACCCTAAATTGTCCTTAGGTGTGAGTGTAACTGGTTGTTTGTCTAGGTGTGGCCCTGTACTTTGACTCAATGTCTCCAAAAGTATTTAGAAATATCCTCATGATCCTAAATATAGAGTTAAAGCATTATTTTTATGAAACATGTTAAATGCCATCTCAGGTAAAGGTGAACACCAGTCAGATTTTCTTATATTTCCCATTTATAAGCTGGCAAATCTCTGTGTGTACTGGTAAAATCTTCAGCCCTGTCATCTTGTATACAGCATGTTACTATATCGTATAAAACAAGTGAGATTTAAATACCACGAGGAGGATGAATGTAATATGTGCACCTCTGTAACCACAAAGCATGTGTTCTCTCACTTCATGTTAAACGACTCTTTGAGGCTCGCTTCTGCTTGTTTATGTGTGATTGTTTTCCAAATTTCAGGAATATCAGCAGGCTCTGCATTATATGCTTCAGCAAACTCCTTGTTGAACTTTGCCAGTACATATTTCCAGTAGTCTGATGCCTCTAAGCTTACATCTGACTGGATTATCCAGTCTGGGAAAATTTCTCTGTAGTCCTTGTAAGGGTGCCATTCACCTTTTGTAGCATCACAGCAAAAACGTGCCTCACTGTTCACCAAGGACGAGCATATGTCAATGACAAGTTTTTTTGTCCCATCCCACCCTGAATCTACCCAGACCCTCTGGACGATGTAGTTTAGCAAAGTGCTCTCCATGTTTACTTGCTCCTGCGTCACAAGGAGCTTTGCAGAATGGACACTGTTGCCCACATCCAATCACCTGGGTGAAAAGCTCGTTCTGGGGCTTCACATGAAGATTTTTCAGTTTCATTTGGATGGTTTCTGTTTTAAACTTCTCTGTAAGAGCCTGTGCCATGTCCTTCACACACTCAGTGAGCCAGTGAGCAAACTGTTCCTGGTCGGCATTGTTCATGAACATGAAAGCACCAAGAGCATACTGGGAAATGACCAGTTTATCACCAAGTTCTTGGCAGACATCTTCAACAAATGTCTTCACGTTACCACTCTTTTCTGTTTTAGCTTTGTTGATAGCATCATTTATGCTGCTGATACTTGACAGAACATGTCGATCCTCAAACTCAAAAACTTTATCACCCTTTGAAAAGTGTTCCTCTATTTGTTTGTGTGTCCATTTCTTTACATGATCCTCATAGGAGCAAATGTAGCTCTTATAGTTTTCAAAGTCATCCTTTGAGAGCAGATCCAGTAAAACTGAATACTGGAAGAACATTCGTGTGCTGAACTGGAACCTTGTCAGCATTTCACCAATAATATCAGGACCCAATGAACGGTTGACAAAGTCTTCGACTGCAGGCCTCAAGCAGCGGCTTGTGAATTCTTCTGCCTTCTTCTGGCACTGGTCTCGTTCATGGAACACATCTTTGAAATCAGCACAAAACTTTTCTTTGTTTTGATTCAGACATTCGTAGGGATCATTAGCATGTATGAAATCTTCATGCATTTTCTGAAACTGTCTGGCTGCAACTCCACAGATGTGCTGTTTTAGAGAAACTTCAAACTCAGTGGTCTTAACACTCTGACTGTTCTGCAGCCGCTCATCAATCATGTGTAGGATCTCCTGGATGTAAGTGTCATGGTAATTGTTTTTCCTTTCCATTTTTTCAGTCACAAACTGTGTGCAAGCATCTATGATGCTGTCAGCCATGTTCTGTGAAGCCATTACATGATCTTTAATGTTGAACCACTTGCAGGCTTTGTGTTTTAACTGGTTGCAAAATCCTTCCACTGTATATTTGAAAGGCATCAGTCCACAATCTTTCAGCCTTTTTTGACTTAATAATTGACATACACGACTCCCCTTACGTGATAGATTATCCCTGAGGAAGTGGTCCACATTTGTGAAGACATTTGTGGCCTTCTGTTGAGGAAAAGATAGTTCATTCACCATACTTCTCCACATCTTATCAAATTCTTGATCTAGTTCTTTGTCTGACATCTGGACTTTTTCCCCCCGACATTCCTCAATCAGCTGACGCACTCTCCCCTCTAATTCTTTTGTGTGGTTTTTCTTGATTCTGTCAAGTTCTGTCATTCCCTGTCTGATGTCAGTTGCTGCTGTGAGCTGATTATATACAGAGCTCTCCATTTCTCGACGAAGGCTCTTTGCACTGATTGAGAATTCCTCTCTGTATCCTTCAACTAGATACACATGACCCTCTGTTTGCTCAAAGTACTGTTTTAAATTTCCAAGAATTTTTGTCTCCCATTTAGTCAGCTCTGTGCAAGCTTCACTTTTCAAAAGAGTGAGAAGTTCTTTCATGTCAGATAACTCAGATTTCACAGCAACTGTGCCAAAATTTGAAATTCTTGTTTCAGCATTTGTAACCCATGTGTACATTTCTTTTTTGAATTCCCATTCCCATTTGTTGAACTCTGTGCACAGCCTCATGTATGCATCAGCCACTAGGCTGTTTCTGAAACTGAAGATGAAGTTTTCATGCTTTACTGCATTCCACAGGCTTTCCATCCACTCTGTAAACTCCATGATATTATTAGCAGATGACTCACACCTTCCCAAAATTTGGATGATGTTCTTCTTGAGCTCATAAACGGCCTCACTGTACCCTGCATTGACTGGTGCCATTGGTGGGTTTCCATTCCAGAGTCCAGGAATGTACCAGTTCCCAGTGTCAGGACTGTACTCCATCACATCAGTGAAGCTCTTGTTCTCCTCTTTCTTTTCCATCTTGGCTGCTGCCTGGGTCATCTCGTTTAGCTGCTGCAAGAGCAGTTTCCTGTCTCGTAAGTTCTTGTCATGGGCTGAAACATCTGACACATTCTGGTGAACAAACTGACATTTGGGCTTTTTGCCCACCTCTTTCATCCTGAGAAAAGCATGCACAACTATTTGTAGGATGTCCTTCATTTCTGTTGAATTCTCCATTGCAATATTGATGATGGTGATATCACTCAGCCCCACAACAAGTGTTGCAAGCTCGTTGTCGTGCTCATGGCTATTGTCCAGTTGAGCAAGCTCTGGTGACTTTAAGCCCTCAGTGTCAATGATCACCATGAAGTCACAGTTGAGTTCTTTTTTGACATCTTCATTGATTCTGATCAGCAACATAAACACACCTCGAGTGCATCGACCACTGCTGACTGCAAACTGCACTCCAAACATGGTGTTGAGGAGAGTGGACTTTCCTGTGCTCTGAACTCCAAGAACTGTGACTACCAGTATCTTGCTCTTAGGAGACACCAAGTCATTGAGCTGAGAGAGAACGTCACTCACCCATCTGAGAGGTATGTTGGATGCATCTCCATCTACAAGCTCAAGGGGAAATCCATCAAGCATCAATTCAGCACATAGTTTGGGAAGATGCTGTAATTGTTGACGTGATGGGTCTGTTTCTGGAAGGGAAACTGAAGCTTCATAGATCTGACCCATTTCACGGAAGAAGTGTTCAGTCCCCAGTGAGCTGTTGGAAAGTTGCCTGTCAATTTCTTTGATCTCCTCTTTGTTCTCAGAATTTTCGCATTTCTTTTTGTACTGCTCCCTGAGGCCAGACAGTTTTTCTCGAGACAGGTTATCGAGGTTCATTCGCATCCATTTCAGGAAATAGCTCCTCTCTATCCCTGGACTTGATATTGCGTTGATGAAACATGTCATAGCGTTTGACATGTCACAAGAGTTCTGTTTTTCCCGAAGTTTTCTTTTCTGTACCTGAAGATTACTTTTGTACTTTTCATGTTTTCAGACCCAACTTTTCGAAGGCGAAATTCTTCCTTCTCTAAGACAGTCAGTTCCTTCCATATTTGGCCCTGCAAGGGAAGCTGAGCTTCTTTGTATTTAAGGGTGTCTTGAATTTCTGCAGTGATGGCATCTGCATTTTTCTTGGCAGTCTGGCACTCTGCACAGTCCTCATCCACCAAGATACCCAATTCAAGGGCAATGTCAGCCATCTGCTCAATCCCCATCTTCATCTTTGTGTTCTCAACTACATTGCTGACGGTTTTCTGCAGATGTTTGATGAAGTCTGCATCATTCATGTGCTTAGCCTTCAAAATGATGTTGCTGTTAGTCAAACCCGACTTGGTTGCTACCTTTTTTAGAGCATCTAAACTGAAGCTCTGGCTTTGATGGTTGCCCACTAAGAAGATCTGTGCCTTGTGGTGTTGGTTGATAAGCAGCTCGCACTCAGAGTCCAAATTGTCAAAGAACACAAACACTGCTGCAGATGTCTGACACAAAAAAGAAAACTGTGTTTCAAATGAAGCAATGTCCCCACGAAGGTTAGCTACAGCTACTGGCTCACTGAAAACATCCATGTTTTTGTTCCCACAAGGAAGGTACCAAGTAACTTCAGTCAATCCATTGGATATTCTCCTTCGACTGT